CTGGCCTAACCTCAAGCCCGCACCGTATCTCACAAAGTCTTGCGTTAGTCACGATCTGCCAGGAATTCCTTCTTTGATAGAAAATTTAGCTACCATATCTGTCCTGTCAAAATTCAATTCTTGGCCAGTAAAAGGTTTAAATTCTGTTCTGTAGCTCCTTGCTGCCATCTAGACGTCGTTGGTGTTTTGTCAGCCCAGTTTTGATAGTCCTTCTTTGCACCTTCTTCACCTTCTGAGGTGAACGCTCCAACAAAGGTCGATTAGCGGCAAATCTTTAACAACTAGGCCAGCCAGGCCTAATGCTTACCAGCTCAAATAGACGCATTTCCTCATGAGGTTCTTCCCACCTGTCAAATGGCTCTCTCCCCCCCTCACTTTTTCTCGCCGAAATGATAAACCGAGCTATTTCTTCGGTTTCTTTCTTTTTTGACAGCAGGGGGTTGATTTCACATTTTAATGGTTGTCTGCCATTAACCACCTGATGCTGATGCTGACATTGGATGAAAAAAAAAAAAGAAGAAGAAGAAATCTTCGGTCGAAGAAGATTGGCAAAACGAGACAGGTAAGGACGGTGGAAAAAAAGCTTTTGAAGACAATTCACGTCCCCCTATTTCCACTTAAAGACAGCAAATGTGGTCTGTGTGTAGGAGGAATAATAGCAGTAATAGAAAATGCTTCATTGTGTTTTATTTCTGGCAGTCCCGTTTCCTTCTGTTTTCCATTCATGAACATCGCACTCATTATGAGTTTTTCTTTTGTGTTTTTCCCCCCTTCCTCTCTCTCTTTTTTTTTTTGCATCTGTGCATGTTTTATTCCGTAAGGGACACGGTGGCTCAGTGGCTAAGACGCTGAGCTTGTCAATCGAAAGGTCGGCAGTTCAGCAGTTTGAATCCTTAGTGCCGCGTAACGGAGTGAGCTCCCATTACTTGTCCCAGCTTCTGCCAACCTAGCAGTTTGAAAGCATGTAAAAAAGGCAAGTAGAAAAATAGGGACCACTTTGGTGGGAAGGTAACAGTGTTCCGTGCACCTTTGACGTTGAGTCATGCCGGCCACATGACCAGGGAGATATCTTCGGACAGCGCTGGCTCTTCGGCTTTGAAACGGAGATGAGCACTGCCCCCTAGAGTCGGAAACGACTAGCACATATGTACGAGGGGAACCTTTAGCTTTATGTTTTATTTTGGACGTGGGAAATGTAACGTCTTACTCACTTGCAGGAAACTGTAATCTTACCGAAAACCTCTGAGGCTGGCTAATGTGTCAGTATATCAAGGAGGGGGAAAAAAAATCAATCCCAGCCAGATCATTTCTGACAAGAAAAAGGGTTCCACTTAATTTTGTCTCAAATGGCAGCCATAAGGTCCAAATTTAAGTTCGGCTAAAACCCAATGGATAACTTTTGGCCACTGAGGAAACAGATTAACAAAACATAGCAGAATATAAAAAGGACAGATTACTCTCTAATAAAAAAAAATATCTGTAGCTCAGGGTTGAACTGTGCAGTTCTTGGTACTTTCTGAGCTGGCTTTTTTTTGCTTGCAGACGTTTCATTACCCAGCTAGCTAACCTCATCAGTACATTACCTAGTCTGGTAATGAAAGGTCTCCAAACAACCAGCCAAACTCAGAAGAGGATCAAGGAACTTCGAGATTTCTCTTTGTCTGCCATCCTGCAATACGCTTTCCGTTCCCAGAAATATAAAAGTTGTTTGCTGAACCGTGGATTCATGGCAGAGATATTTTCTCTCCGGTAAGGAACCATTCATGGGATTGAAGATCTCTGAGCTTCTTGAATTGCAACTGTGGTGCCACTCTGCAGAAATGCTTGTCTCTGAGACTGTAAGCAGAACAATGAAAGCAGATTTGGCTTAGGAGCAGAGGTGAAATTCTATTGCTCATAGGCAAATGAGATTCCCCTGGTCAGTCAGTCTTCATCCAATGCAGGTGCCTCTGGATAATGCAGCAAAATGTATTTTACTGAACTCCATGCTGGAGGCCAGAGAAGATGGATTGAGTCAGGAACATGTTGCAGACAGTCCTTTTCGTGCATAGTCCCAGAGCCACAGGGGCCTCTCCCATTGCACGTAAGTTGCTTCGAGCTTGTATTCTTTCTGACACTCCGCAAGATGAAGAGTAAAGTTTATTGGATGACATTTTAGTTGAGAGGATTGTTTTAAAAGCAGATGGGATTTACCATGACATTGCTTTGCAAAATAAATATTATGGGAGATTGCACCTAATGATTAAACAAATTCTTTGCCTTCTTGTTGTCAAATTCTTTTGTGGGCTTAGTTTTAATTGATGGGCAGTCAGTGTTCAAACACATTTATTGCAGGATCCAATCTGGGTTGATCGCCAGGACCAGAAATTTTGTCTTTGGAGCTTTCGGACTCATGCTGGAGTCAGGAAACACATTTATTCTTTATTATGGACTGATTTGTTAGACTTCTCTTCTGTCTTCCTTTGATGGGTTTCAAAGTAGAGACACCCCATTCAAATAAGGTATATATGCACGAAGAAAAGAGAAACATTAACACTTTGTCCATCAAATTCTTGTGCAAACCTGGAGTTCCATGAAACACAGTTTCACGTCAAGCATAGGGTTTGCCAAAGTAAGGAAGGTCTATGTAAAACATTTTAAATAATTTTCAGGATTTGGTCTTCAGTTCTTACCTCTCCTTCAGCATCAACTCAACGATACAACTCCTAGGAAGAAAACACTGTAATCACATGGATCATAACCAGGGGTGAAATCCAGCAGGTTCTGACAGGTTCTGGAGAACTGGTAGCGGAAATTTTGAGCAGTTCGGAGAACTGGCAAATACCACCTCTGGCTGGCCCCAGAGTGGGGTGGGAATGGAGATTTTGCAATATCCTTCCCCTGGAATGGGGTGGGAATGGAGATTTTGCAATATTCTTCCCCTGCCACACCCACCAAGCCGCACCATGCCCACCAAGCCACGCCCACAGAACCGGTAGTAAAAAAAATTGGATTTCATCACTGATCATAACCGTCATTAAAGAAAACTACCCACACCAGATCTGCTTATGGCAAGAGAACCATTCTTATGCCTCCTCAAATTTGATGGCTACCAACTCTGGATTGCAAGATCTCAGGTGAAAACAATGGTAGCAAAAACCTGGGTTTAGTTTATATCTCTTTGCTGCCAGCTAAAATGGTCCAGTTTTTTTTTCAGCTCTGAAAGTTGGGCCCTACCAACTGCTCATCTAAGACACTTTTCAATTGCAAAAGACCCTGAACAAAGGAATCGACTCGTTTGAGTGGCAGCTCCAGAAAATATATTGTCAGAGCAGGCAATCAAGACTCCCCACCCCTTAAAGATGGATGCTGCAGAATCTCCAGCAAGTTGAAGTACCATCCAATCACATTACTGCCACCATCAAGAACACTCTATCCCTCATTCCAGCCCATTCAAACTTGCTGATGGGTGGCATTAAGAAGAGCTGTTTTCCGTTTTTAGAAACATTCATATGGAGGTAAGTGACTGAAGGCAATTAGAATCTGGGCCAGCTTAAAAATGTTTAAAGATAAATCAGCTAAATGTTGGATTTGCCATCAGTTACTGGGATCATACTATCATATGTGGTGGACGTGTGTAGAAGCAAAAAAAATAATAATACTAGGTAAGAATTCGTATGTGGTTGGAGAAGATGAGACAGCAGCAAATTGACTTAAAACCTGAGATATTCTTGTTGGGGATTTTACCAGGGAATTATAGTAAAGAAATTGTATACTTGCTTATTCGTGTAATAACTACGGCTAGAATTGTATTTGCACAGAATTGGAAAGGTGAAAAGATTCCTGCAGATGAAAATGTGATTAAGAAAATATTGGAATGTGCAGAAATGAATAGATTGACACTTGCAATTAGAGGGAAGGAAGAATCTGATTATTATAATATATGAGATTTATTTTCTCCGTGGCTAGAGAATAAATATGAAAGTAATGTATAGTACAGTTAAATAAGTTAAGAAGAGAAATGTTATGATAATAGAAATGTTGTTAAGTATTAATATTAAACTAAGAGTAGATATAAATAATGAATAAGGTGGTAAGCTTTAACTGTTATGACACAAAACATTTATACCCAGATGACACACTGTTTAATGAATGATGGAATGTTTTGTACTAAAAGAAAATAATAATAATAATAATAATAATAATAAAAAAGAGAATCTGGGCCAGCTTTTTCATATTTTGGTGTCTTTAGGTCAGTGGTGAAATCTAAAATTTATTACTACCAGTTCTGTGGGCGTGGCTTGGTTGGGGGGGAATGTGACTGGGTGGGTGTGGCCAATTTTTTTTAAAACTTTTAAAACCATTTTTTCTACCTCATTGGCGAAGAGGTTGTAAAAAAAATGCTTTCAAAAGGCTCTGACAATCCCAGCTGAGTTGCCTGATCCGCAGAGGCTTTTTTTCTTTTAAATGCCTCTGACGATCAGGCAACTCAGCTTGGATCATCAGAGGCTTTTAAAAGAAAAAAAGCCTCCAATGATCGCGAGGCTCAGCTGGGCATGGGGGGGGGACAGGGATTTTTGCTACCGGTTCTCCGAACCACCCACCTCCATCGCTACCGGATTGGGCGATCCGGTCCGAACCGGGAGCATTTCACCCCTGCTTTAGGTATATCATATTTCAGTCCCGAGGATTCCTCACAAGTGTGGCCAGGCTGAGAGAGATTCATCTTAAATGTTAAATTTAGGATGTTAAACAGAAAGCCCTCTCTTTACTGGATCCCACAGGTCAACCTGTTGCTTGAGTTAATGTTTACAAAGATCGTTGAAGATAGAATACTCAAACACTTTAGTAGTAAAAGTTTGTACTGCCAAAGAGTCAAATCATCTTCTGGAGGTTTTTTGCCCAATTGTTGTTTTTTTTTAAATGCTGTGTGTTGGATGCTTGACACCATTGCTTTTCTTAAACCTTTTAAAGTAGCCACTCCTCTTCTCTTTTCAGTCAGGTTATATAATAAGCCACACTCCTAATTGTGCTATTGCATATAGATGAGTTGGCAGGTGGTTCGAGCTAAGACATTGATTCATAAATGCCAAAGAGGCCTTTCGTTGGCTGCCGTCTGATGCAAGAACAGGTGGACCAAAGCAATCCAAGAATTCAATTTGCAACTTCGCAGGTACCGAAATCTCGATCCGCAGGCAAAGAGTGGGACGGCTTTTTCCTCCACATTCCTCACGACATTCTTTACTATTTAGCAGGGGAGAAAAAAGAGGTAAGAGAAGCAATTGTATGTTGATTTTCTTAAACGAGAAAAATTTAATCCGTTTCTAAACCTCACTCTGAACACTTGGCTCACGTGATATGTTTCCCTGCACATTTTCCGAACGTGTTCAGCTTGGATGGCTTGAAGTTGTGAGTTGTTGGGTGTGCTGGGTATGGCTGGTTTAGAGAAAAGAAGGACTAGGGGGGACATGATAGCAGTATTCCAGTATTTGAGGGGCTGCCACAAAGAAGTAGGGGTCAACTTATTCTGCAAAGAATAACTAGAAAGCAAGATGAGATGGTTGGAAACTGATCAAGGAGAGAAGTAACCTGGAATTAAGGAGAAACTTCCTAACAGTGAGAACAATCAACCAGTGGAACAGAAATTGCCTTCAGAAGTTGTGGGTGCTTCATCACTGGAGGTTTTTAAGAAGAAGCTGGACAGCTATTTGTCTGAAATGGTGTAGGGTCTCCTGCTTGGAGGGTTCGATTAGATGACCTCCAAGATCCCTTCCCACTCTTGTCTGATAGATTGTTGTTCCCTTTTTTTGTCTTTCTGAGTTTGAGATGATGTGCAGATCATTTAATTACTTGGTGCAGTATGCAAATTTAGAATATGGAATAATTTAACAAAAAGAATAAGCATATATTGGGCAGTCTATACCCTGTCCTTGGACTCGGGGATTTCTTACCCGAGTTCAAAGTTGAGGTTCGGTCAAATGGACAGACGAATGGAGAGAGAGGCAGGGGTAGTGAATAAAAGCTTACTTGAGACTTGGTTTTAAGTTCATGCTTAGCTATATGGTGATTCTAGACCAGTGATGGCAAATCTTTTTGGCATCGAATGCCAAAACGGGAGCATGCATGCGTGCAGCAGGAGCACTGGAAATTGGAAGAGCAGTTCCCTGGCACGCATGCATGTGCCGGGAAACTGAACTTCTGTTTTCCAGCATGCGCATGTGCGCCAGTCACCTGGTCTTCTGGTTTCTAGCACACATGTGCATGAAAACCAGCTGGCCGGCATGCACATGCGTGCTAGGGAGCTGCTTTTCCAGTTTCCAATGCTCCCACGCACATGCAAACCAGCTGGCCAGTGGGCATGTGCGCGCCAGAACCTGGAAGAGCAACGGGTGACAGCTGGTGTGCCCAGAGAGATGGCTCTGTGTGCTACTTCCAGCATGTGTGCCATAGGTTTGCCATCACAGTTCTAGGCTAACTGCCATCTCCACACATAACTGTCTCAAAAGCTTACTGAAGCAGGATTAAGCCCGTGATATCCATTCATTTAAGGAATGATAGGGAAAACTTACAGCTCAGAAACAGACAATCTGTACAGCCTATGGAGCTCAATCTTTTCTCAATCCCTTTCCTAGCAACTCTGAGAGAAGACCCTGGGTGAAATCCTTACGCGCTGCCGTCAATTTATTGCAAAGGGACTGATTTCAGAGGCTCAGCAGTCTTACCTTTTAAACTTCTTCCTCGGCTTTTACAATGGCATGATAAGCAAAGCACAGCATTCGAGCATCTATTGACTTTCTCAATTCATGGCTTCTAACTTCAGGTTGCAGCTCTTTTCAAATTGGCTTGCAAGTTTCGTCTTCTGGCAGCCCTGGAGGGTGCAGAGAGTCATGAATTGTTGTTTTTTTATTATTACCGTGTTTCCCCGAAAATAAGACCCTGTCTTATATTTTTTTGAACCTTGAAATAAGCGCTTGTCCTTTTTACCATGCTCTCAAAAGCCCGATTGGGCTTATTATCAGGGGATGTCTTATTTTGGGGGAAACAGTATATGATGATGATGATGATGATGATGATGATGATGATGATGATGATGATGTTTCCCTGAAAATAAGACCCAACCAGAAAATAAGTCTAGCATGATTTTTCAGAATGCTCATAATATAAGCCCTACCTCCAAAATAAGCCCCAGTTAAGATTATCAACCAGATAGATGCATTTAGTACCATATTTTCTCCAAAATAAGAGCTAACCAGAAAATAAGCCCTAATGCGTCTTTCGGAGCAAAAAGTTACTATAAGACCCGGTCTTATTTTCAGGGAAACACAGTATTATTATTATTAACGATGGTAAACTTAAGTACAGCATAATATCCAGAGTGGGTTTTATCATATCAATTGCTGGTACATATGATGAATTGCTTCCTGCCATTGTTAATTTGAAGATAGGTGGGGACGCATCTAAATGAGTGCAGTGGGAGAAACATCTTAACTTAATTTAGTTTAATTTATTTGATTTCGGTGCTGCTTACTCTAAAATGACTCAATATAAACTATCAAATTAAGTTTTATAGGTTGCATGCACAAAAACAGAAAATATGTGTGTGTACATGTACGCACAGACATTTTTCTGAATATGAGCCTTGAACACATTGAATAGCTCATGAAGGGTGAATCAGGATAGAATCCATTTTTGTTTAGTGTTCTGTTTTTTGTAGCCAACCAGATCCCACTGGGTTGTCGCAAGAAGAAACAGAGAAATTATTCTCTCTCACTATTGATTTCTTGCAACTGATGAACCGTGGTGGTGCAGTGGTTTGAGTGCACTACTGCAAGCTACTTCTGCTGCCTGCCGGCTGCCTGAAATTTGGCAGTTTGAATCTCACCAGCTCAAGGTTGACTCAGCCTTCCATCCTTCCGAAGTGGGTAAAATGAGGACCCAGATTGTTGGGGGCAATAGATTGACTCTGTAAACTGCTTAGAGAGGGCTGTAAAAGCACTGTGAAGTGGTATATAAGTCTATTGTATAGACTTACACAATAAGTCTATACTTATAGACTTCCTTCCTTCCTTCCTTCCTTCCTTCCTTCCTTCCTTCCTTCCTTCCTTCCTCCCTCCCTCCCTCCCTCCCTCCCTCCCTCCCAATGGTTAGAATGCAGTGCTGCAGGCTAATTCTGCCAATTGCCAGGAAAATCTTTCGGGGGAAAATTCCGATTCTGTAAACTGCTTAGAGAGGGCTGTAAAACACCGTGAAGCAGTATATAAGTCTAAGTGCTATTGCTAATAATTGGAGTCATGTGGAAGTAACTTTTTGAATCTTCAAAGTAGACTGTGACCTCCTTGAATTGATCCAATTCCCTTTTAAGCCATCCATCCCAGTTAGTGACACTTGCCATGTTCTTCATCTGATATGTACTGTTTGATACAGTTTAGTATCAACTCTTTGCAGGTCTTGAATTTCTTTCAAAACAGCTTCATCCATCAATCTCTAGTTCTAGAATTTTGAGGGAGAGGGGAAAAAAAACCCCTCCCTGTTCAATTTCTCCTTAAGATTTGTGGTAAACTACGTGAAATCCTGGGTAAAAGGAAGCAAGCCAGGTGACAGAAAACAAATTACAATAACTCTTTTTCTCTTCAGTGTGGTTGACCTCAGACAGACAGTTCAGGCAGTGAATTTTGAATTTAAGCAACAATATACTTAATTTTAGCATGGCTCAGTGATGTTACCAGAGTTTATTGAGCGTGCCCTCATGCACTTTCCACTCTCAGTTTGTCTCCTCACCAATTTCACTTGCTTTCCATCCTTTCTGTCTTGCCTTCCCTTCTCTAATTCACCTTGTGGACATGGCTGATTGTTTTCCTTTATTTATTTATTTATTTTACAAGCATCTTGAATGCTCTATATGTGGTATCTTTCTTCTATGCAGGAGAGAGGCCAGCCTGGTATTTATTTAAGTTGTTAAGCAGTGGCTCAGTAGCTAAGACGCTGAGCTTGTCGATTGAAAGGTCAGCAGTTCAGCGGTTCGAATCCCTGGTGCCACATAACGGAGTGAGCTCCCATTACTTGACCCAGCTTCTGCCAACCTAGCACTTTGAGAGCACATAAAAAATGCAAGTAGAAAAATAGGGACCACCTTTGGTGGGAAGGTAACAATGTTCCTTGTGCCTTTGGCGTTTAGTCATGCCGGCTACATGACCACAGAGGTGTCTTCGGACAGTGCTGGCTCTTCGGCTTTGAAATGGAGATGAGCATCGACCCCTAGAGTCGGGAACGACTAGCACATATGTGCGAGGGGAACCTTTACCTTTATGATACTGAACCTAAAGGTGTGAATGACATTATTACACTGGTTGCTCAAAGTCTAAATCCACAACTGTCCTTATGAGAATAGCAATTCCATCTTGTTTATTCATTCCTCCAGAAGTAGCAATATTCTGCTTAATTAAAATATGCAAAACAGTTCTGTTTGACTAGATGTCTTAGATGGTAAATATATACATATATTTTGGGGCCCGGTATCAACTCATGTTCCTGTTGATTTAAGTGGGGCCAGAAAGTTCATCTTTGCTGCTACCATAATCAAAGCCACACCTTTCTCCGTCTATAGCACATACAGTATACCATATTGTAGCAGCCTGAAGGTATTTTCATTGGACTGTTCAAATATTTCAAATCAGTCATGCCTAACAAATGATTTAATTCTGGTGCACAGCTTGAGAAGCTGAGAATGTTCCCAGGTTGTCCTTGGTCTGTCCTTTAGAAAGTGTCATTTTAGGAGTTGACTAAAGGGGGACGCGGTGGCTCAGTGGCTAAGATGATGAGCTAGTCGATTGAAAGGTCGGCAGTTCAGCGGTTCAAATCCCTAGTGCTGCGTAACGGGGTGAGCTCCCGTTACTTGTCCCAGCTTCTGCCAACCTAGCAGTTCTAAAGCTCGTAAAAAATGCAAGTAGAAAAATAGGGAACACCTTTGGTGGGAAGGTAACAGCGTTCCGTGCATTTAGTCATGCCGGCCACATGACCACGGAGACATCTTCGGACAGCGCTGGCTCTTTGTCTTAGAAACGGAGATGAGCACTGCCCCCTAGAGTCCGGGAACGAGTAGCACATATGTGCGAGGGGAACCTTTACATTTACCTTAAAGTTATGTGTGTTGGTTTATAGAAATCTTTTTTCTAAAAAGAATGCTTTTTCTGCCCTTGTTATCAGTTCTCAATAAGACCTTGGCTTATTAATCCCAGAGGCCATCAGGTCCAGGTCTTCAAAATAGCAGAA